GAGGGCGTTGCCCGAATCGGGTGGGAGAGAGAGTCACGAAGAAAGTACCTCTATCCCACATCGGACAGGAACGAGAGGTCCTGGACTGTTTATAAGTGAGTGTGCTGCACACTCCTATAAGCGCGTTTGCTGGGGAGAGGGTAATGACCCCGTGACAAGTGATATCAAAGCAGATCGGACCTCGTCTGACTCACGCCAAGAGCTCGGGCTCAAGGGGACTCAGGGTAGGTAGGGTGGTCGACGGCAACGAGGGCGTTGCAGGAATCGGGTGGGAGAGAGTGTCACGAAGAAAGTGTCTCTATCCCACATCGGACTGGAACGGAAGGTCCTTGGCTCCTTATAAGCAGGTGTGCTGTACACCCCTATAAGCACGTTTGCTGGGGAGGTCCTTGGCTCCTTATAAGCAGGTGTGCTGCACACCCTTATAAGCACGTTTGCTGGGGAAAAGGTAATGACTCTCATGGACCATGCCGAGCGCCAGGCGAGCGACCCCAATGGATCGGGGTAGGTAAGGGTGATAGGCAGGTTGACCAATGGCAATGGGGTCCCAATGGATCGAGATAGGTACGCACTCTGGTAAGCAACTCGACATGTTTAAAAATAATAATAAAAAAACTTAATAATCATGTTCATTGTATTTACATTGATATCCTAATTTATTGGACATGAATTAAATGTTTGTCAATAAAATTAAAAACAAAAGGTAGTAAAAAGTTATTAATTTATTAATAAAATGATCGTCTCAATCTTGTAAACATTATTTTATAAGAAACACGAAATTCAAGTTCAATAAAAATAAATTTATGTTTTAAACATAATCAATTTATAGTACTTATACACCATCACTTCATCACATAGTACCATTTCATAAGTACGTAAAAGTAAAAATTCAAAAATCTTTCAAAATAAATAATTTATAATGGTTGCTGACAGCTAAATGTGCACTATAAACCGATGATTGTGAAATTAGTAGCTAGCATTGCATTTAGTGCGATCATGCAGCAACTTCCTATTAATTAAATTCAATAATAACCCACAAACTTTTGTTTAATATTACCTACTTTATTAGTATGGTACTAATATAATTTATTAAATAAAAGAGTTACAAAAAGTTTATTATTATTTTATTTAATTTATTATGTTAAAGAGCAACAAAAATTTATATCGCATGACCCGAAACGAGATATATTTAATATCTAATAAAATGTTATTTTTATTACTTAAAATTAAAATTATTAGAGATTTTTTTTACAGGGTTTTTATTTTTGAATAAAATTTTTATTCCTTTTAATGCCAAAAATAAATTAAATAAATATATAGTATTTAATTATATTAATTTTACATAAAAGAAAACGAGTTGATTTCGAATATTTATTAGACGCAGAATTTAATGAAAGAAATTCAAATTTTGGTCGGAGTTGCCAACTGGACTTTTTGAAGCCCAAAAGGCCCAAAAGAGGTTCGAAGCGTAAGGCCCACCACCTACCACCAAACCCCAACGTTTTCCACGCAGATTCCTCAATCCCCAAATCCCCCTCCCCCACTCCCTCTCTTTTGTTTTCCCGAGAAAATTGAAGGAAGGACCTATCTTTAATTTTCTCTCTTCCCAAACCGAACCTCTCCCCCCTCCCCACCCCTTTTTCAAAGCGGGAGAATCAATCAAAATCCTTTGAGCTTTCCGGCGAGGATCGAAGTCAGCGGAGATATGGTGTCACCTGAAAGCTCTAATTATTGGTCTCACTTCGATTATGCAACCTTGATTGATGATATCCCTGACGGTCCTTATTCCGGTTTTTCTTGGCCCGCGCAGCCAACCAACGCCCCATCTAATGTTGTCAGGTATCCCCCAAAAAATCTCTTATCTCTCTCTCTCACGCGCTCACTAATTCTGAATTAGGGTTTTGAATAATGTTTATTTAATTTATTGGCTTTGTTTTGAGATTATTTTAGTCATTTTAGGCGGGGGGTTTATTTTGTTTTATCTGAAAAGGGTTTCTCGGAATTATCATAAAGTCTTGATTTTGCACGGGTTTTTCATCGACAAGTTAGGATATTTTTGCGTATATATGGGAAGTAGATTTGGGGTTTTTTTTTGAGTAAATTATGTGAAGTAGTTGGTTCTTTATCTTAAAATTGTTGAATGGAATAAGGGTTTTTTTTTAAAGTGGTGTGATTAAAAAAGGGTATTAATTTATGTTTTCTGCAAATCGAGGTTGTGAGAATCGATAAAGTTCATCTATTGTTCATCTATTGTTCATCTTGATTCAGGTTATTAATTATTGAACTATAGAAGGAGATCCTATGTTTCAAGCAACCTGTTAAGTTGGTGCATTTGGTTAGATTATGGTGTTTGTATGCATGCCACGTAACTTGACAATGTTGTTCGTGAGAGTGTGAGTGCTTGAGTGGTCATATGTTTATGCCGATTTGCCATTCATGGTCTCATGTATCATACGTTCTACCACATGTTTGTTTTCAGAGCATTTTGTGTTTTAAACCTGTAACACATTTTCATGAATTGGATTTTGTGGTCATACTTTTCATGGAAGTCCTTAAAATGAAAGCAAAGTTATCGGAAAGAGGGATTTGAAACAAAGCTTCATGTGGAAGCATGTATTATAAACTTGTTTTTTCATTCCTTAGAGACAAATATTTGGTGCAAACTGGAGCTGGTGAGGATGCTGTTGGGTGTCCATTTGGAGTGTGTTTCCATGCAATTAGAGTTGTCCACGAGAACTTGATTAGGCATTCATTATTACAGACTATAGGATTTCATTTTGTGCTTCTTGAGTGTTTTAGTGTTGATGGTTATGGATATATAATACAGATCCATGGGAGGGTAGGAGCAAGTCTGGATTAACCATTGGCTTATGTTTTTTAACTCAGATATCCTGTTTCCTTTTTTGGTCCTGTCTCATATTTTCTGTATTGTGTGCTATGATCTGTTCCTAGCGTGGAAAATGATGGCTCATTGGGGGATTCGGATGGTCTTAAGGAATCTGGTTCAAAGAAGAGGTACTGTTCTGTTTTTCATGCTTGATGAAGTAGGTTTTTGCCACTTATTTCTCATGTGTGTTTAAAAAGTTTTTAAGAACTGATTTAATGGTTAGATCCTTAGGTGGGTTTAGAACATTTTTATTAAAAGAATCTCTTATTGCTTAATTCTTTTTGTGTTGCAGGGTTAGATCTGAATCATGCAATCCATCAAGCTCCAAAGCATGTAGGGAGAAGTTGCGTAGGGATAGGCTAAATGACAAGTACCCCCATCTCTCTTCTCTTGCCTTTCCTTTGAGCTGTCTCTCTTCTTTGTCAAGTATGAATGTTCAACAGTTGGTGTAAATAACAGGTTTATGGAACTGGGTTCTATTTTGGAACCAGGAAGGCCTCCCAAAACAGACAAGGCTGCCGTTTTGATTGATGCTGTCCGAATGGTGACCCAGTTACGAGGTGAAGCCCAGAAATTGAAGGATTCAAATTCAAGTCTCCAGGAAAAGATTAAAGAGTTGAAGGTGAGGCTGCCTTGGGGGCCTTTTTTGGGTAAAAAATTGTCAGAATCTTTAGAATGCTATTTTCTATCTGCAAACTGCTGATATCTTGACAATGATTGAAGGAACATCAGGTATTTCCATTGCATTAGATTAACTGTATTTTCTCTTTTTTAGTCTGAAAAGAATGAGCTTCGTGACGAAAAGCAGAGGCTGAAGGCAGAGAAGGAAAGGCTGGAGCAGCAACTCAAAGCCATGAATGCACAACCTAGCTTCATGCCTCCTGCACCTGCAATCCCAGCTGCATTTGCTGCTGCAAGGTCAAGCTCCTGGAACAAGTTGGTCCCTTTCATTGGTTATCCTGGAGTTGCAATGTGGCAATTCATGCCACCTGCAGCGGTGGATACCTCACAGGATCATGTTCTACGCCCTCCAGTTGCCTAAACTGGCAACCTACAATGATTTGGGTTTGCATTTTGACCCAAACAAGTGTATTTGTTTTGTCATTGTTCTGGGCTGTTTTAGATTTCACTGAAGTTTTCTAACTGGATTTGTTGGGTGACTGTCACTGTACTCCTATGATTGGATGCTGGTAATCACATGTAAATTTTAATAAGTTCATTGGGCGACCTATGTTTCTCTGTTCTATAACCCTCTGGTTATATGTATGAGGCATTCTTATCGACCTCAGCTTTACCAGAAAAGAGAGAATTTGGAACCAAACAGTGAAGCTAATTAAGCTTTTTGAGTTGGTTAGGGAGGAACCATTAGCCTTAGGATCTACCTATTTGAAACTTGTATAGGTAACTTATTTAATGATCTACCTGGTTGTGTTAACATAAAATCTTGAATTGTAGTCCTTGCTTGTGTAGTAACTTGTTTTCCTTGCTTAATTAGATTGGAAATGGGTTATGGACTCACTGATAAATCAGAATAGTTCGGAATATACGGTAACAAGAAAACAAATTAAGTTTGCACCTGAAAATTGGACTAAAAGACAATACTAATGTTTAAATCAATGACTTTTAAGAAAATTATTTTTTGGATTTTTTCTTTTGGTAAGTTCGCTATAAGCCAATGATACCTTATCTTTTAGACCATCTTTGAACTACCTCTCTTCTCAAACCACCAGCTCTCTACTCAGTTTTAAAGCCAACTAAAATGGCGTCCAAGTTTCTCAAGCTTCATCTTCAAACCTCCAAAAACCCGACCCCATTCCCTACGCAGCACCACAACCACCATTCTCATCTTGCTTTCATCAACTCAAATGCCTCCCACAGGTACAAGATCCCCTCTCTATCAATTCAGTCCTCCCTTTCCTCTTCCACACCTCCCTCCTCCAAAGAAGAAGCCATCCTCCAAGCCAAAACATGTCTTTCCACCTGCTTAGAGAAGCCTCTCAACAATCCCAAGCTAGCAGGCAAGCTCAAGAAGCTAAAACAACCCAGGTTCCAAGTTGAAATCCCACTCATTGATGACTCACAATCATCTCTTTCTCAACTAGCTCTTGATATCTTTAAAGATATGTCCATCAGAAGGAAAGGTTCTTTGGTTGAGTTTTTAGTGTTTTGGCCTAATGTAAGCTTAAAAGAAGCTGGAATTCAAGCATTTGAATCATGTCTATTGAGCCATATTGAACATATTGACTTGGCTTCAGTTAACAGAAATAACAGAATTTTGAGTTCTGCTGATGTAGCAGTTTTTCTGGCGCCAGAGCCTGCGCAGCTTGCTGTTATAAAAACAATAGCTGACAGTTTGTACCCAAAGCCGGTGGTGATTTTCAACCCCAAATGGGGTTTCGAGGAAGAGAGTGGGTTTGGTGATTTGAAAGGGTTTGTAGGATCTTTTGAAGTGATTTATTCATTCATGGGCTTAGAGGTTAGGGGTGTTGTGAGTAAAAGGAAAGGAATGGTTTTCAAGTGTGTTAGAGATGGTGTTTTGAGTGGAGAGCAATGGGCAGTTCTTGTTGAAGAAGATGGTGAAATGAAGGTAGCTTCAAGGTTCAAGTCGCGGCCAGGGATCGAGGAAGTTGAGAATGTGTTGTATAATTTGATGGCTATCAATTCACCTATTACAAAATCTGCCAAGTTCTTGAGGGACTTGGTGTCTAATGTTACTGGAAAAAAGTAAGTGTAGTTGGATTTCCAAGTTTGATCTATCATGATCTTTTCCCTCATGGTTTGAGGAGTTTTAGAGCTATCTGTTGAATTTTTATCAATGCAATTGACTGCTAGTTGTATTGAACCTTGTGCTTCTCTGAATTTGACTTTCATGCTACTGTTCTAGAGTCATTGATATTGATATTCTGTGTATTCTGGCATAAGAATGTTCCTATGCCCGCAACTCCCTCTCTGGATAAGGAGGATTGGTGTAAAGTAATTAACAAAAAATGGAAAATGAGAAGTTCAAAAACAAGTTCATTTCAGTTGTTTGGTGGACTAAGCTACTGCAGCAATGGGATCAAAAAGGATAGGGAAGATCGACAAATAAACTTGTTGGTGCCTTATAGCAATGGAAAACATTGCACATGTCCTATGTTGTTTGTTGTTTTTCCTTTGTCATTTTGTGAGTGAAGAAAAAAAGATATTGTCAAATGGACATATCAAGCAGTTGAAACATACTTTGTAACTCAAAAAGTCAGCAACCTACCATACTTGTTGGTGTTGATGGTTGAATGCTTGAATTCTGATGTTATAGCCCACCAGCCATATCTGTGACCATCATTTCCTTTTGGGAAACATTGGATTAGTATGAACAAATAAGTACTGCAGATTTGCTTGCTCAGTTGATACTGTATTAAATTACAGGTTTGGCAGTTGCCCTGTCTAATTCCTGAGAGAATGGCACAATCTTAATTATTTTCTTAATTTCTTGCTTAGTTGACTAATCATTGTGGTGAAGATGGGTTATGGCATATTTCTGCATTCTAAGCTGCTACTTACCATGGTATATTTGCAAGCTTTAATCTGTTTTTCTTCATTAAATCTCATGAATCAGAGATTTTTGCATCTTCTAACATTTTTGGTGTGCTACAACAATAAATACTAGCGTGTTCCAATCTTGAAGATGCTTTTATCTCAATACAAAAAGTATAAGGAAAAAAAATTAAAAAAAAGAAAGAAAAGAGAAATCATCAGTAGGGAAGAGTGAGTGATGGATTTCACAACCAGGGAAGAAGAGTTCTGAAAAAATCAGAAGCATGATGCTGTTATGATTTCAGAATCTGTATTGAAGGCCTTGAATTTGTAAAGAACTCTCTCTCCCTCCTCTTTTTGTTTCTCATATACAAACATGTATTTTATCATCATTATGGTCACTATACTCTCTCAAAATCCTTGTTAAGATGCCCTAATATGACAGCCCTTGATGAATTTATCTGAGAAATCGATATACTTAGCCCACAAAGGTCGAAGTTGAGGGAAGGCTATGTCTAGCCAAGGCTTTGCTCTGCCATTAAAATGGATGACCCCAGCTGTCTCAGCGTCAAGTAAAGTTGTATTATCTTGGTACCCCAGTCCTAACATGTGCCAAAATGGATCGATGACATGAACATGACCATGGAATGCAATTAGACCAGGTGGTAAAGTACCCAGTTGCCACAAACTGAGGTCTGTTTTCAAGTTCTGCAGGGGTAATTGAATTAGTCAGGATAACAAAATTAGATAATCTATTATCAATATTTTCAATGTAAAATGCAGTGCACAATCAGTTAATGGTTAGAATCTGGAGATGGGATTACCTGTTCAAGCCAGTGATAGTATGTAAGGCTAACGTTGGTCTTCCTCCAAGCCTCAAGATCAAAAATATTCATACCATATGCCCATGCACATTCATTAGGATCAAAATTCTTTGCAATCATAGGATGGGAGAAGTTGAGATAGCTCTTGAATCGCTTTGACATGACAAACGTATCTTCACCCCTACATGTCTCCACTGCTCCATTAACTTTTCCATTCATGCCAATGTCCCAAAGAGGTGAAAGGTCAGTTTGTACCACAATGTCATCATCTAGGAAGACTACCTTGCTGAGGCTGGGAAACAACTGCATGCAAAGAAAATTCAGTTAAGAAATAGCCACTAGTACTTGAATATTTCTTCTCTTCCCCTTAAGTAACAAAATGTTACCTCTGGTAAATGTATCCGAATGTGATTCATCAAGGAGTTGTACTTAGGACTGAGTGCTTGTAGTTTTGCTGCGATAACTTGAGGCTTCTCGGTATTATTTGCTACAATTGCTGATGATCCTCCTCTGAACTGTGACCTTACTCTTTGATCTTTTTCCATTGCTTCCAAAACAGGCACCTTCCCTTTTGAAAGCCAATCAAACTGATGCAATGCCTTAACCTCAATTATAGCAGGCGATAAAGGATGCAATGAAAACCAGGCCTGCATGGGGGAGTGGGTTTTCCTATCTGTTATTATGTGTAGAACAAATTTTTCAGGGCGTAATGCGTTTTTTACAAGGGATGTTGCAACAACCGAGGCTGCAAGCACATTATCTGAGGCAAGTACAAAGTGGAAGTAAGAGTTATCGACAAGGGCGGGGACAAGTTCTGCTGAGGGGAGCTGGAGGCGAGCAGCTGCGTTGGTGGAGTGCTCATTGGCTAGCTTTAGTGCCAAGCAATGCAACTGTTTTGGAATGCTGCTTGATGCTACATGGCGGTACAAATATTCCTGGATTTTAGCCGTTCTGGTCCTTTGTTCAAGTAGAACTATCTGGAAAAAAATTGTCAAAACCTTCATCAAGTCCAATACATTCGTGGCTAACTGCAATCTAAATATAAGGGCAGAAAAAACAGAAATCAAGTGATACCATTTCTCTTAGTCTTAGAGCAAAGGCTTTTGCATCTGATCTGCTTTCTTTCATTTCAGCCATAAACTCTTCTAATGTCTGAGGAACATCAGTTTTTCCTTGTACTTCATCTTTGCTTACTGGTTCATTTAGTACTTGGTATATCACTTCTGGGACCTTCAATAAACCACAAGCAATTCCAATTAGTTAAAAGAACTGATATTCTAAGTAATTTGTTAAACTAGAATGAGATTGGGAATTTACATTTGACTCAATCCTTCTTCCCAAGATCCTTGGTCCTATTCTTTTCCCCAAGCAACCTATCATAAAGCCAAAGACAAAGAATAATTAATTAAAAAAAGCCCAAATTAGTATTTATTTTTTCTTGCTAGGGGATCATGTGGGAAGAACAAGGTCACTGTTAATCAACCGACCATATAGGAAAAAAAAGAATTTCTTATTTAATTACTGTAATAATACTTTTCACATGCTAATTGTGATTTGAGCTTTTATTGAAGATTACTAAACAGAGAAATTCTGGGTTCACAGTTATCACATGGAATTCTCAATGGTAAATGAGCATTGGCAGATAAATCACAAAGGCATCCTAGATGAATCCGAGAGGCAAATGAAGGGTACATTTGTAAATGCTGATATAATAACTTAATTAATTTGTCACACATGTTATTGATTATGGTTCCCCATCTGAATCCCTCATTATTCTTTATTATACGATACCAAACTAATCATATTTCTTAAATGATCAATAAATAAAATCAATGGATATAAATTTACTGCCAGAATCAGCTTTTTCATGGCACAACAGATAATTATTTTCTATATATCTATAGATGTAGAGTTTTTATGTAATAATTATATGACATTATCCTATATGCTTTGTTTTCTTTTTTTTTTTTTTGTTTATGTTTATCTGAGAGCAGACATTGGCATTTGATCATTGCTTTGTTATTCACTGTCAAATCTTGTAAAAGACATTTACATTCTTCCTTGAACTCTAAGTTCAATGCTGCTAATTAAAACAATGTTAATCTGGTGTACTTTTGAAGAGAAACAAAAGGAAACTTACCTATGGTGGAACACCTGGTTTCTCCATCAATGCTGTCAACAGTTGACAATACAAAGACAAACCGGAGAAGGAATGTGAAGAAAAGAAGTGAGTAGAAGAGCATTCGGTATGAAAACCCGTCTTGAACCAACCTTGACTTTGATGAACTCTCTAACACCTTTGCCTGGAAGTACTGTCACATGCCTCAAACTTGGTGAGATGTGAAGCTGCATTGTTCTTGTCCTCGACAGAAGAAAGAGAAACAGCAGTCAAAGCAAGCAAGCAGAACCCAACACACAGCCCTCCGGGATGATCCCCCAGGAATTCTTCTTCTGCTTCTCTGTACAGCTATTGGTAATTCATTTGGAAGAAGAACTGAGAAGCCCCCAAGCAAGGAAATGCTGTAAAAGGAAGGATTTGAGATGGGGTTTAAATTGTAGCTGTCAGTTACCTAACCTTGCTTAGCATTCAGGCTAAATATGTCAAGTCCCCTGGAAGGTTATATTTATTTTTAGAACAAGGGAGGAAAGGGTTGTTAAGGAGACAAAGACATGAGACTTAGAAACAGGCTATGTTTGTTTTTTTGTTGAGTTTGGAGGTTTTGGCTTGGGTTTGAAGTAGGGAAGTTGAGAGATCATCAGACACAGAAACTTCGGACAAAAAAAAACAGAAAAAAAAAAGAGAAAAAAAATGGGAAAATATTGTTTGGTGTCACTTAGCTTTGCCACCACATGAAGGTTTAGTTCTTGTAGGCATAGGAAAGAAAAAGAGAAGAGGGTTCGGACTTTGACGGTACAGGGTTTCTAAATGGAAAATGACTTTCTCTTTCTGTAATCTCTCATGGTGGGGTTGATGCCACTTCGGTTGTTGGAGTGAAAACACAGGAAACATCTAACCCTTCATTGGAGAAAACGTTTTGCATGAAGATTTTCTTAATATTATATTATATATATATATATATATATACAAGCACAGCGTAATAAATTTTTTTTATAAATAAAATCATAAATAATTAAATCGAATAAAAATAATATGATCATTTTACGACGAATCTCATTATTTATACTTAAAAATTTATATCAAAATTTATTCTTAACACGAAAAATGAGTAAACGAAAATGATGAAAAATTTTGTAAACTGATAATAGCCAAGACTATGCACCTTCTTTTATTATCTATGACATATTAAGTATGTGTCATATAACAAGAGGATTAAAGTTCAAACTCAAAACCTGTAATCAAAATTTCATTTTACATATACTCTTGATCCATTTGATTTTGAATTCGAAAAAGATAACATTAATTACATATTATAATAAATTAAGCCTAAAAAATCTGACATGATCTAATTGATTTCAAGCTAGGGTTCTTTCTTATCCTTTTCCTGTAGGAAAATTATGTTTAACTACACTTCCAGACACACATGAAAGCTATAACATCACCTTCAATATTAAAAAGGAAGAAAGAAAGCTAGAGAACATCAGCCTGGTCAAAAGGAATCAATTTACCTTGTAAAACAATCATACAATATAAATGATATATTCCCTTTCATGGAAAATACTTACTTCATGAGCTGATATACCACCTAATTGTATATATATATATATATATAAAACAGTACAATTTTCATTGCATGTATTGAATTCTACTCTATGCTCTTACAAAAAATAAAATAAATAAATTATAGTGAAAGTAAAGAGGGAAAAAAACCATAGAATTCTGACATGAATGTCATGTGAAACTAATATAATAATCATTAATTATTAAAAAAGGTATATTTTAAATTTGAGTTTTGATACTAGGAGAAGTTAATTTGGCCAAGCAAAATGTAGAGCAAAAGTAAGCCCAGGTTATGGTGGGCTGATCCAAAGAAACATCAACATTGCTATTTCTTTTTGAGAAAATAGAATCATGGAATAATTTATTTTTCAAGATAAAAGCTGATGGTACCTGCAATCTTGGGTTGTCTCAAATTATCATATTATGGAACCAACAAATGTATTAAAAGACAAAAAATTTTACCAGTGAAATATAACTAAATCAATAACCATGTCTCTTTTTAATGATAAAAAGATTTCAATTTTAAAGTACGAGTTTTACAAATTACATTAAAATTAAATATCGATAAATATAGATAAATTTGTAAGGCCTAATCACACCGTATTTTTCTTTTCTTTAACAGCTTGATTAGCAACTCTTGGGTGACAAAGGTTAATAATCAAGATACAACAATATATGGGGAATGGCAAGAAGATTTTGCATTGCTTGTGCAGTACTAGGAGTCATCAAAATAAAGAAGAAATGGAAAAAACAGATATTGACAATGAGGCATGTTATGGATTCCTTGTGTTGTACACTATATTTGTTAACACCATGTGTTCTTGGATTGCATGGTGCCTAAACGGCAGCATATAGCTTTGTGCATGTTCTACTTCTTCTATCTAGGGATGATGAGTTTCTCAAGGATTTGCATGGATTTCTAAGGTGGGAAATAAAAGATGACCACCAAAATAAAACCAACATTTTGGACTATTTCACAGGTGATGACAAAATGTATTCGACTCTTGCTCTTGGTTCTTCCTATGAGCTTGTCTGTTTTGTCGACATCAAAGGCCATAAATGCTCTTCAAGCTCAACCTTCAACTCTCTAGCCTTGGATACCTTGGGTGCAGTCATTGTTGAAACTGGAGGATGTATTGCCAGCTTTATCTTTTCAAGCATTGCCACCCTTGCAAAACTCCACTATAACACCAAAAGCCTGCAGAATGAAATAGAGAAACTTGATGCACGAAAGAAGAGGATGTCAGATGAGCTGAAACAGAAGGGAAATGTCCAGCTGCACAAGTCAAAGGATTGCTTATCAAGGTTGAGGAGATTGAAGGAGAAGTACAGCCGATGCTAGAAAAGGCTGCTAGGATTGCTGTCCAAGGATGCAGTTCAAGCTGTAACATTCTTCCCCGGTACCAGCTCAGCAGACGTATGGCAAAGAAGCGTGTTGAGGTGAAGCATCTGATAGATACATGCAATTTTGATACTGTTGTTACTCACAAGAAGTCTCCTGTAAGAGCAGTTGAGAAACAACAAGGACCATCTCTTGCTGGTCAGAGAGAAGCAGTAGAGATGATAGAAAGACTAATGGAATTCCTGAAGGGGCATGAAAATAAGAGGATAGCTGTCCGGGGCATGGGAGGAGTGGGGAAAACTACGATGATCAGAATCCTGAACAACAAGCTTGAGTCATCCTCCTTGACGGAAGAACTAGATATTGTCATCTGGGTCACAGTATCAAAGGACTTGGATTTTGAAAAGGTTCAATCTGAAATAGCCAAGAGATTGAACTTAGAATTGGATGGGAACAATACCATAGAGGAAAGGGCTAAGAAACTGCTTCAAAGATTGATGAAGAAAAAGTTCCTCCTGATTCTAGATGATGTTTGGGAGCAAATTGATTTGGACATTCTGGGTGTTCCACAGGATGATGACCAAGCCAACTGCAAGATTCTTTTGACAACTCGATCCCTCGATGTGTGCAAGGCAATGACCAATGAAGAGATCAAGCTGGACGTTCTAAATGAAGAAGCATCTCTCTGGCACTTGACTGAGAGAACTACCAAATGGAATGAGTAAGCTACATAATCTGGGAGAACTAAATTTGTCCCGCACACACCACCTAGAAACAATTGAGTCTGGTACAATTTCAGGATTGCAAAGCCTGGAGTCATTGGACATGTCTTTCAGTGAATATAAGTGGGATGCCAGATGTAATATAGAAGATGGGAGAGCAGCATTCGATGAGATACTCACCCTGGAGAAGCTATCAATTGTTAAAATAAGACTAGACAAGGTTGATTCTCTTGTCCTGGATGCTTCTTGGTTGAGGAGACTGGGAGAGCTCAACATACAAATTAGCCCAACAAGTTGTGATTCAAACTAACTGCCCAATGAACATGATGAAAAGCAAGTCATTCTCAGAGGAGTTGACCTCATGGGAAGAGGGCTTAAAGGGTTGTTGTGCACTGCAACTGCCTTGGATCTGGTTATACGTGAAGGCAAGAGTGCATTTTCTGAACTGGCCGTCAACAATAGTTTGTCTGGACTGAAAAGCTTAAAGTCACTCACTATATCGAAGTGTGATTGCATCACTAGTTTGAAAAGTGGAGAGAACATTGTAGGAAGCATCTTACAAAAGTTGGAGCATTTAAGCCTCAGCCGCTTAGAAAATTTAGCCGCAATTGTGGGAGGCATGGTCCCTAGAAGACGATGCGTTGGATGGTTAAAATTATAGAAGTGGTGGACTGTAAAAACCTGAAGACACTCATATCCTTTGCTTTACTTCAACAGGTTAAAAACCTTGAAGAGGTCAGGGTAAGAAAATGTAGCAGAATGAAACATATCATTTCAGGAGAAGTGTCCACGGAAATGATCTCAAAGCCAAGAGTCATAGAACTGAGAGATTTGACCATGTTAACGACTATTTGTTCAAGGGTACCTGCTTGGCCCTCTTTGTAGAAAATTGAAGTGAGAAACTGTCCCATGCTACAAAGCTTCCTTTTGCGACAAGCAATGCAGTAACTCATAGAGAAATAAAAGGGGATTTGCAGTGGTGGAGTAATCTTGTATAGGATGATGTTGAGATCAGATTCAGTCTTCAGCAACGATTCCAACCATGTAGAGCCTCTCTGATGCTGAAACTAGAAGATAGATGGGTAAGAAAAACTCCTCATTCTGCATGTCTAGATAGCTATTTTTGGTTAGTTGATTAAGAGCATTGCATAAGATAGTAAAATATCCAGTTGACTAATACAGTTTACTGCACTCATGTATCTATTTCAAGTGTCTTACCTTTTTCTGGTTGATTTTCCTTGTTTTTAGGCCTACTAGCTTGGAAAAGGTGGTTGAAAAATGGTGCTCAACTTTGGCACATAGCAGGTCAGGTTGATTCCTGCAGTTGTTTGGAATCGAGGTCTTAGATTCAGCTTTGGGTTATTGCAACTCGTGTTTTATGGTTGAAAATTAATGCTGTGAAATGAAATGTAAGAAATTCATTCTTCCCTTTTCTGGTAGTTTTGTTAGTTTGTGGAACAGCAGGTTCAGAAAGAGAACCATATGTAAATAAGTGTATATAGCAAGGCTTTGAACAAGAGGCTGCCTATCCCACTTTGTTGCAGTTCATTTTAGAATGTGTATATTTCCCAACAACGTAATTACAGTGCTAGTTTTTCAAACAAGAAGCCTTTTTCTTGGAAAAATGTCAATCGGGTTTCTGCTTATAGAACTATCGACGCCATAGAAACCTGCGCATAACTCTTACCCATCTTTTTCTTCTCTAATAGATGAGAAAATGGGGATTGAAAGCTCAAAACCTCCTTTTGAAGGTAGAGTTTGGCTATGATCAGGCTCAAAATTTTCTTAATTACAGTCAGCTTTGGAAGCAAGATTACACGAAACTGGTGAAAGTACTATAGCTGTTGGTCCTTGCCTATATTGAGGATGACATGACTAATGCCAAAGACAGTTATTGAAAATTGAAGAGATTTGATCTCAACATATATCTATGCATGCACTTGTTGCCATCAATACAGAAAATCTTTGCAAGTATATCAGAAACATACAGAAAATTTGTAGAAATGGTTTGATGATCTGAAACAAGTTACAAATGCATAAAGTTTTTTCTATCATGGTGGTTGTTTATAGGAAGACGGCAGATAGTGTTGGAAAAGTGGGTAAACTATTTCTATGACATGCTTAAGGCCTTGAAGATCTATGTTCTAGCCTATCATATCTTGTACAATTTTCGGCACTGTATGCAATGAATTCCAATTGTCAAGTAAAATAAAGCTATGTGAATTATAGGAGACTGTATATTATTTAAATCTTGGGAGGAAGTGAATAAGAACCCTTTGCGTCTGATGCTAGCAAGGTAAGCTAGAGATCCAAATCCAATGCCACATCTATTGCCTTCCCTACAAGGTCAAACAATGTGTCATTACCAACCAAGGCCCGCAGGATATTTTTTTTTCTTCTAGTTTCTCTTTCTTTGTCTGCTGCCATGATCATATCAGACAATCTATCAACTGTTGTGTTAGATTTCAGCCTAAGTTTCATACCTTTCTGCATTGCTTCATATCTGGTTTATTTCCCATGGCTTTGCATAAGACGCTTGTATTGGTATTTGATCTGTTATGGTTGAGATCTTTCAAGTTTAGCATTATTTACAGTGTACCAAGAGGCAGTTAGGGCAGTTGATTACTGTTGACTATGCCTTGCTTATATATACTTGTATCAGAGATGATATTATTGAGCCTGTGTTGTTTTATGGTTTTTTTGTTTTGAATGTGTGCTCCTCATATTGCAAGAAAACTCTCTCCCTCTCATTAGCTTGGCGGTATTCCAAGAAAACTCTCTCCCTCTCTTCACTAGCTTTGCTGTCATTCTCTGCAGTTCTTGGTTCTGACTTCCTTCTTGTTGTCTGCCGCTGCCAATTCAGCACAACCTCTCATAGATTAAAACCATACTACGATAGCTCCAGAACATTGTTACCAACTTTCCATGGCTTGTTCATATATATTTGTATCATGAACAGATTCCCTTTCTCCTTTGAGTTTCTTGTATTTTATTCAATTGTTTCCTCGATTTGATACCCAAAAGCATGGTGTATCCATGGGGATTGAATGGTATGGTACCTGTTTCAATTGAAATTCGATCAAAATTTCCTCCACATGTTGCTGAAAGATAACACTGATGCACCATGGAAAACTTCTTACTCCAAGAATTACTATTTACTGCTGCAGAAAAACTTGATCAAAATCTAAACGTGAATGGTAACAAATAAGCTTTTAAATTAATAGAATAGAAGCAAGTTGGGGTTATAAGGTAATGCTATTATTTACATATCACAACTAATTATTGGGAATTCATTGTCTGTTATTTACAATGTCAACATATGAAAAACCCAAAACATAGTATCCACAATTCCTCTTCACAGTCAAGCCCCCCTTTGCCTCTTGTTTACATTGCCACCCATAGTATTAACATTGTTAATCAGCCTCTGGAGAATAAAAAGAATATCTGCACACCTGAAAATAGGAAAGAAAGGTAAAATTTCAGTTCAAAAATCATAACACAGACATCTTATTATCAAATCAATTTGACTGGAAGCATAACTAGAGAAAAAAATTAAGAAGGGATTGGCATATCGAATCAATATCTAGCTGAAGGAATACCTAAAGACTGCTTTGTCTAAAATGACTTAAACCTACTGGGGACAGTTTACGCCATGTTCAAGCAAGCAAGTTTATAATCTAAATAACCATTTGGCACAATGACAAATACATTCAGATGTCCCACATGTCCATGTACAGACCTTTAGTTAACATGGCATGGCACACAAGCTGATTAGCCAGTATATTTAACAATGGGGAAAGCAATGGCATCTTAAACAATGAGTGAAAACAGAAGCTGCTAAAGTTAGGTAGACGGCATCATATTATCTATACATACAAGGAAAAACAAACATCCGGATGTGGGTAAAACATGAGAAGTTTTTTTTTTTTTTTTGAACAGCAACATGTGAAGTTTAAATTAGGTATGTATCCACTTTGGAAACATTAATACTAACATTCAGCTTATAATCTAAACTGTATATAAAACCATTACTTCTAATCAAACATATCACTTCATCTTCAAAATGATTCTCCATCTTGAGGCCTTCACTGTTACTATTTACAAACTTGAGTTGAGCTTCCATTTTTAAGCTCTCTCTATAATTTACAATCTCAAGCCGAGGTTTTGTTTTAGAGCCGTCACTGTTATTTACAAAGCCCTTGTTTTCTATAGGCATCTGAGGACCATTCAAACTAGTTTCTTGATGCCATTGTGAAGTTCAGCAAATGCAGCACCATTTTCATTCATGGAGTCAAGAGAGCCAGAGCTACTTCTACGTGTAACCTGCCCATTTTCAGACAGCCCAGACCTCTGATGCAGCCGGCCTCCATTCCTATTGCTATCTACAGTTGGAATCCTGTAAAAAGCAGAGGGTAAGAATAATCCTTGAATGTCAACATAAGCAAATCCAATAGTTGTATGAAACGCCACTCGGTAAAGACCATGGAAAAACAAGGGCTAAAGAAACCTAAAGAATGATACAGATTAAGCAATTGGCAAAACTAATAGATCCTATACCTTATAAATTAACTACTCCTTCACTTAGATGTAAGAGGCATCCTTTCAAAAATGATACTATGAACCAAAAAAACTCAAATATATAGACTTTTTAAATTGCCGGTAAAAACAGAATTGACATGCATCCTTTGAATCAGTAAAATAAGTGGACATAAATAGCATTCAGCAAACCTTGCTTGCTGGAATTTAGGAGTTTGAAGATAGTCAAAAACTGGAATTAAGTCTTTTGATCGTGCTTCAATCATGCGAGTTGGGAACCTTTCAACTTCTATTTCCCCTCCAAAAGCATTTTCTTCAGATATTTTGATGCCATCCATCACCATTGATTGGAAGTATATCTGGAAAGATATAGAACAAGAACAAAGTTAAATTTCTTCAAATAAAAAAAAAAACCAGTACTACAGGTGCAATGGCCGGACTTACAAAACAGGGGATAATTCTCCCCCTTCTCTCAACAACCTCCTTCACAACACCCACATGTGCACAAACACACATAGAATCCCAAGTGAAGGTGAGATTTGATCCAAGTCCTTAGCACAACCACCACAGGACTTTACCAACTAAGCTAGCTGGCACCTTCAAGCATAAGCATATCTCCAAAAACAAACATCGAAGAAACTTCTAAACACAGAGTAATACCTCTGGTTTTGCCCACAAAGGCATTCGAACTTGATGCATCTGCAGTTCAGCTTCTGAAATATACAAATTATGTTTTTCCTCGGGGTTGGGATTTGCTTTGTCGACAATATCAGTAGGATCAGGGCATGTTCCTCCCTCTTTGATTTCTTCAGGATATACTTTACTGTTGTCTGATGTTCCATTCTCACCATATATGTCTACATTATCTTCTCGTTCCCTTCGAATGTGTTTCTGACATATATTCCACTTCTGGATTGCCTCAACTACTAATCTTCCATCAGATTCTGCAGTTGACTCATAAGCTGCGCTTAATCCAGAAACAAAAGGTGTTGAATCACGGTCAGCTGATATTCGTAAAGCATACTGTATCATACATCCAGAAGGAGAGAAAACCAGAAGGTGGTATTTTGTCTTCAAAGAGCTGCTCTCAGCAAACAAAAAATTATTGCCTTTACAGTTATGGAAAGATGACGCAATGGCCCCCGAAAGGGAACCCATCCTGCCAGTTGCAGCTGCTGCAGCACCACTTACAGTGCCTCTCCAACCATTACTTCCGTTCCTTATTCTGCTAACAACAGAAAGTGTCAATGGGGGCCCAGATGCACAAAGGTTCATTTGAGTAGGTGCTTGCACTCCTAAATTAGGTGGCCAACGAACTTGTGGCTTAGTCATAACACCCAAACCACTATGTTTAGAGGCAAAAACAGCATCACCAGACTGAAAATATACAGATCCGCCCATTGGATTGATAGCAAATAGATGGCTTGTCCCTCTCGAAGAACTAATCATAATCCAATTGCTATCATCACTGAAACTAACATCCTGTATTACCTGAAAACCCAAAAGAATGAAAAAAGATTAAGAAAAAGGTCATGTTGTTAACAACAGCATTTGAAAGAATTATAGAACAGTAGTGATGGTCTTACAGCATTTGTAAAACCACGCTGCAGCCTGTAGAGATGTGCATATGATGATGATGCATCACATGCAGAAGAGCTTCCTTGAAGTGCAGGCATAATCTTGAAAACATTAATGTTATGACCCTGAACTGAAGCTGTCACAAGAAGGGTCCCACTAGGATCAAAGCATAATGCTGAAATAGGACTCTTGTGTGCCTTAAACTGAGCAATAACAGCTTTATTGACAATATCTCTGACAATGACCTGATAAACCCAGGGAAAAAAATAAGAAGTGATAACCAAAAACAGGTTTATCCTGTATCCCTTTGCTTATATTTGGCACACAAGAGTACAACTGAAAAGTCACTTTGTAATATGTGCTTAATATCAGAAAAAGCAGCCTCCGATGAAAAGAAATTTAATACATAAGATATTGAACAAAGAATGTGAAATTAAAGACTATTATACTTGTGTGTGTGTGTGTGTGGGGGGGGGGGTGTGGCATATTTAAAAAGGAGGAAGCAAAAAGGGGGCTTGAAAAATACTAGTCTAGTTGCAGGTGTATCAATATTAGAGAGAAATAATGCATACCATTCCAATGTTATCAGCATCTGGTAGATGACCATTAACAATCCCATTAGCTTTCCAGCCAGGACTTCCTGATTGCAGGGAATTGTACGACTCAGGCAGGTATCTGGACAGTTTCTTATATCCAATGTCTCCTAAGGTCACAATCCCAGCAGCAAGTTGCTTGCTTGATTCTTTTGCATAGTGTGCAACTAGGCTCCCATTTGAAGAAAACCCAGGGAAACTTGCAGAAGGTGAAAGATGCTGCGGACTGACACGTCCACAATTGGAAGCTACAACTGGACTTCCACTATAAGCCAGCCACCTAGGACCAACTGCAAGAGGTCCATAACCTATACCTCCGGAACTAGGGCAGCCAGTGACTATAGGATTTGTAAGAAGGGTATATTCCATCTCTAATGTTGTGGCATCATAACAATGTATCTGCAAGATATAAAACTTAGTCCTCAAACTGTGACTAGATGTAAGGGTGCTCAAAAGGAGATGCATATAACATAACATACCTGAGCTGCTTGAACTATAGCAACAATCCGAGAACTGCACCTTATGCAATAAACCACTGACCTAAACTTTAGCTTACGTACATAAGATTGAGATCGCAAGGAATAAAACTGGACAATAGTAGGCACAAGGCTACCATTCCCTGAATCATGGTTGTGTGGAATGCTTCCATTGCCTGGACCATCCCGACTGTGATTACCCCCAGAGATGAACCCATCAGCACAAACTACCAGAAGGGGACGGCTGTCTACAAACTTGTCCCCTGATCTCTTAGAAGCTACTGGTTTCGGTAGCATTTGCATAAATGAAACAGGACCATCACGTCTTGAAACCAAGTCACGGACATTATCTGCTTCTTCAACATCCCAAACCTGGAAACCAGACCGATAACCAAGCAGTAGAACTTGTCGAATGACATCTCCCTCACCTTCTAACTTGTCAAAGCCAGCCCAATGCACCTTTACCTCATAAAATTTGACAGAGGAATATGATATTAGCCATATTTTCTCTATGCTCTTAACTTTTAGGATTAACCTCAAAATGATGTTACACATGCATCAATTATTAACAGGGCAAAGGATGTATAGCTTGTAGCAATTGAAAAGAAAAACAAAATCCAAAATACTCCAATATCACTTTGGATTGGATCTCAGAAAATTCTCCCCTTATTACCTAAATCAAATTAAAGCAAACACATTACCGCCTGCAATTCCATCCTAAACTCCAACATTCTTTACCAAGTTCTCTATGTTAATCTATGTAAGAGAATAAAACCTCTAACTAATTCTAACCCCATAAAGCATTCAACTATCAAGCCTTCAAATGTACTCTGTTGCAACCTACTCCAGATCTGATTTTTTAACAACTAAAAACTTCTCTTTGATACCAATCATTAAAGACAAGAGTGCAATCATTTAAAAATGTCATCAACTACTGATCCAAACAACAAAACTCTCCAAATTAGCTGACTGTCAGGTCAACACTAACTCATGGTAAGCCCTCTTATAAAACCAAATAAGTAGAAGCTCAAAGAATCAGCCAAAATGCCAATAGACCACATGCGAAAAGATTAACATTCATGACAATAATAGGTTGAGAAGTTTCAAGGTGTGAAAGAAACAAACATGTGAACCAACAGCCAACTAAAATTTCCAACCATTCATATCTACAACTTTTGGAGCTATGGTGCTTAACAGAACCATAAAGGTTGGAAACACTCACATATTTCTTAATTATAACGATCATCTAAAGAAATGCACTGTCAAATTACAGATTTAAATCCGCTCATAGTCAGCCTGATTGGCAAGTGGCTTCTAACATAAACAGTAAATTATTCTAGAAAAATCCACCAGATCTTACTTATAGTTCATTTTTTGTGTAGATAGAAAGCCAAATTGTTTGATTTCCAAAATTGCTAAAACACCTAAGGAGATTATACAAATCATGAAATCAAATACTTATAACAGTGCAACACCTTAAATACACAATATCATGGCAAGTCTAATCCCATGCCAAAGAATAGAAAATAATTACAGTGGCATGATGGATTGAGCTTCTACACTATGTCAAAACTCAACACATATATAAATTGTCAAATGGCAATCAGGGATTGCCAATAGCTCTCCTGTGGAACCCAAATCAGACCAGCATCGATTTAACATTTTATACAACATCGAATTCTTAACCTCATATAGAAAAAAGGCTAATTAAATAGGTAACTATACTTAAAGTCCTCAAAAAAAAAAAAGCAAATAATTGCATCAAAAGAAGCTTGCCAATTCTACAACAAACTCAACAAGGTCATAATTATAATCCATTTAAATTTAAAAAAAAAACACCAAATTGACGTGAAAGAAGCTTTCCAATTCTATAACAAACTCAACATGGGCATACTAGACGTCTCCAATAAGAAAAAGGCCAAATTGAACTCAAAAGAAACTGACGTTTTCTTCATACGAAAATTTAAACCCCCTAAAATATTCCAATTCTATAGGAAAACTAAAGTAGGCACACTTATAATACTCGAAGAAACTTCAAAAAAAAAAAAAACCAAAACTGAACTCAAATAAGCTTTCCAATTCCATAACATATTCCGCACGGACAAACTAAAAAAAAAAGTTCTCAAAAACCATCATTGTTTCTTACCTGATCACACCCAGAATCATCTTCCCTATCCACAATCGACGATGCCACGGAAACCGCCGACCGTGCCACGGTCGAAGCACCGGAAGAAACGATCCTCAAGTAACTGGAGATGGCACGAAATGAACTCCGAGCTGACCTTGAAACGACACCCCCACCTTGCATTTTAGATTGCCCTTGCCCATCTCCACTATTCCTCATAATCTCAAACACCCAATTAAGCAAACCCAGAATCGAAACTACCCAGATAATCAAAATTCTTTCTGATAATTCCCCAATTTCTCCTTTTACCATAAGCCCAAAGGCTGTTCCTACTCAAAATCTCATAAAAAAATTCGTAATTCTCTTTTTTTGCGGGTTTTGCTGTAACAAAAGGGGGGGCAATTAAGAGGAAATTATGAAAACCCAGAACGAAACAGCCTTCTAATTGAAGAAATTTTCAGGTTACAAGTGTCTCCATTTCAAAAAAAAAAACACGAGATTTCTTTTCCCAAAAATAAACAAACTTCGAATCGAAACAAAACAACAAAAACCCGCTTTGATTTTGATTCTGGTTGTTTATTAAAAACCCAAAAAAAATTATTTATTTTATCAAATATAGCACAAATTAAAAATTTAAGCTTTTGATTGCAATTAAACGAAAAAATTAAAAAATATTACACACAAAATAAAGAAAAAAAATTTTGTGGAAATTGAATTAATTTTTGAACAAATTAAAATGGGAAATCAAAAAAATATAGAAAAAAAAAAAAAGATAACGATTGCTAGAGTGTGGTTTGTGGGGTTTTTGGAACGAAAACTTAGGGGGACCTGATGAGAGAGAGAGATAAAGTGAAAGAGAAAAACATGAAAGATTTTAGAGAGAGAAAGAGATTGGATAATGAACAAAAGAAGTTGTATTTTTATTTTCCCTTTTTAATCTTTTTTTTTCCTTAAGTTTTTCCTATTATTTTAATTTTAATTAATTAATAAACTAAAAGAGTAAAAGACTTTACTTCTTTTGCTTTGGCTATCGGAATTCCTCTCCTTTCTTCAAACCTCTTTCACCTTTTCCTCCTCTTTATATAATTAAAAATGTGAATATAAATTTCCATATTAATAAAGCAATTATTATTTTTATGTCACATTTGATTTAGGATAATCAATATAACATGCAAAATAATTATAATTTTTTATTTTTTAATTAACTCTCAAGATTTTCTTTTTAAAATTTTTGTATATCAATTACTCAATTTTAATATATAATTTTTATACGTTGTTATATCAAATATAAATTTAAAAATAATTTTTTATAAATAATAATTTATTAATATTTAATAATTAAAAATAAAATAATTATCATGATTGGATGCCTAAGATTTAATGGATATGATCACATCAAAAAAATTTGTGATGGTTAAGGTGTGCATTCTACATAAAAAATAAATTTAATGAACTTGGTCACCATCATAAATATATTTTATGAGAAAATCATGCATGAGTTTTATTACTTAAACACATTCAATGTACAAATAATTATTACTCATAACATTTTTTATGACAATAATTTTTTTTAATAAAAGCTTTCTTTTAGGGATAATACTTAAAAACTTATAAATTTCAATAAATTATTTTTTATTACATTTAATTAAATTTTTAATTTTATTTTTAATCAAATAAATATTTATAATTAATAATTATTTATATTTTATATTACATAATATTAACATACCGAATGATGATATAACAAAATGTTATTTTCACTTTTTATATCAACACTATATTATAATCAAGTGGATATTAAAATAATTAAAAATATTTAACTAATAATAATTAATTAATTATTAATTATAAAAATTTATTTAATTTAAAATAAAAATATAATATAATTGAAAGCAATATATAATAATAAATATTTATGTTAATTTCAATGAATAATTAAAGAATTTTTTAAATTATTATGTCTTTTTTTATTTATTTTCTTAAACCACCGTCGCGAGTAGTTAAATTGGGTTTACTCGCTATTACAACCGTTCACTTTTGGGACACGTGCTGCTAATTTGAGGCCAGTTTGAGGCTTTGAAAGGAACAGCGAGTGGTTCAGCAAAAAGTTTCTTAGCCGGTTGAACGAATTCTTTGATTCTTTAGAAAAGAAATTGCTGGATTGGGTTGGAATTTATGGAGTGTTTTTTTCCTTTCGTTTATGGCAAGTTTTCTTGATTCTCAAGCATATTATTATCTTTTAATCCCTTGGGTTATTTATATTAATATTTTTTTAAAGCACAAACTTTACTCTAATTTTCTTTTATGGGCCCAATAAATTCAAATAAAATATGCACCTACATTGTCAAATAATTAGTTGGTTTGACAATTTTTGAGAAATTTCAAAAAAAGAAAGAAAAATTGTTTAAAATGCAATTTCAATTTCAATTTGGGTCCAAGAGGAACAATTCAATTTCAATTTACAATGCATGAATTTGACAAAAAAAAGTGTTTAATATTAAAAATTTTGATTTTAATTTGATTTAAAAATTCAATTGCAATTGAATGAGAAGTCATATAAAATTAATAATTTGAATAAAATTACCTAAAATTAGTTAATTAATTTACTAGTAATACTTAGAAATTGCAAAGGTTTGACTTGCCCTTGTTCATCTCTACTAGTAAACAAGTATTATTAGAATGAAATCAATAATATTACTACTTTTTATTTATACATTATCACTTAATTAATTCGAAGTTACCACTTCATATTTTTTGAAACAAATATTTATTTAATTCAAATCCTTAATTTTTAAATTTGTTTATTAAGGAGATTTATTAATAATTTATAAAATTTATATATGACATTCTATCAAATAAAAATCTTAATTTAATTCCTTAAAAAAATTTAGCTTTAAAACAAATTCCATGTACAACTATCTACTTTGGTCTGAATACAATTCCTTCTTTCAATAATTTAAAAATATTTATTTAATAATATATTTTTGGCAATAAGAGTTTAGGGAACTGTAGAATTCCGAAAAAGAGCACGACATAATTTCTTCACCAAGCCAATTCTCTTCTACAGTAATCTAAAGCTCTTGTCTGTTAATTCACCACTTCCTCTCTTTTCCTTTTGATTTTCTTTTAGAAAACATGTATTCTATCAAAGTCCAGCAAGATGATTCCAGTGAAGATTTTATCAGTCAATTACCCAATGAACTTCTTCGTCATATTCTATCTTTTTTACCAACAAAGGATATAGTAAGCACTTCTGCATTATCTTCAAGATGGCGGTCCTTGTGGACTTCCTTTGCCATTGTTAATTTTAACTTCGATGCTTGGAAAGAAAAGCAGAAAGAACGTCCTAGTTTCTTAGATAAGGTTCAGAGAGAGCTCCTCATTCCTGACACTACACGCATACGAAAATTTCATCTGCACTCCGATTGTGCCGTCTGTTTTTCCCAAATACTAGCATCCATGTCAATAGTATCAGAAGTAGTTAACCATAAAGTCGAAGAGCTTGACCTTTCTATTCCATATCACTTAGAATCCAATTTGTTTACCTTTCCTCATTGCCTTTTTACTTCCCAGACATTGATTTCTTTGAAGTTACATATGACTCAGGTTACCTTAATCAATTTTCCAACCTCCATATTCTTACCCAGACTTAAAACCTTGTATCTGGATTACATTAAATTCCAGGATGAGCACTCTGCTCAGCTCCTCCTCTCTGCCTGCCCTGTCCTGAAAGAGTTGTGTATAGACAACTGTGGTTGGACCAAAACAACAGAAATCACCATCTCTATTCCCACCCTTTTGACATTATCCCTTATTTTCTTCGACGAAAACCCCCCAGATATTTCAATAAAGATTTGTACTCCAAACCTTTTAAACTTTTACCACACGAGTTCTTTGCAAGTCGAACTCATAACTTGTAACCTATCTTCAGTAACTCGTGCTGAAGTTGATGTTTTCGGTTCGTTGGGTTATGACCAACGAGTTCGAGCTCAGGCTGCTCATCGCACGCTTCAATTATTGAAAGCAATTCGGGGTGTCAAATTTCTTGAACTATCATATGAAACACTTCAGGTATATATATATATATATATATCTTTTACTTTATAATGCAAATTAGACGAAGTTTAATTCATTCATTAGTTTCTGATAACAAAAGTTTTCTATTTTCTGCCAGGGTATCTCATTTGCAGAAAATTTCCAAGCTAATCATCTTCCTACATTTTACAACTTGACTGATTTGAATGTAAATTTCAACTTTGCTAATCGTGATGGAGCTGCACTGATGCATGTTCTTCAAAAGTCACCAAATCTACGATCTCTACACTTTCCCCAAGGATTTGATGAGGAATATCAGAAGAATGTTATACCAGTTAAGGATAATGCAGAAGAGGTTCGATTCTTAAATATATACACAAGAATGCTAAGGCTTTGGAGTGGTTTTCAGTCCATTGTTCAGAAGATCTATCAGAAGACCTGGGAAAGGAGGAGGAGATAAAATGTGAGTTGAGGCAGGTCTTTAGCTCATGTTGTGTGTATGTGTTCATGTAGAAGTAGTGCTGTGCTATAAGCCATGGTTAAGGGGTTATGTAATTCAAAGTTTCATTTAAACATGTAATTATGACTTGTAAGGTAGAGATTAAACAGATTTTGTTTCTGTTTTTTTTCTTGCTTTTGACAAAAAACCCAATCCTTCTAGCTTGAATCGTCATCCAGACACTTGGCCTTTGACAAGAGCTGATGAAGACAACACTTGTGCTTAATCAAATACAATTCGGTGCAGTCGAGGCTCAGCTGGCATTTTAGATATATTTAATTAATATTGTGACAGAACACGTTAGTTTTCTTTTGTTAGGTACACTGAATAACACCTTACAGTTACATGATACGTGACAAAACATTGAAGGTATTTCCCAACTCATACTCCCTTGGTTTCTCAAGTTTAAACTATAGAACATCAACTCTTTATGGTTTAAATTTTCTTACATGGTATCTTGTGATTTCTTTTTTTTGTTTTGTTTTTTTTTTTTTTGTGTTTTCAGTTACTATCTTATGAATAACTTTTGTTCTTATAAAAAATTAAATTGTTAATTTTATCTAATAAAATTATAAAAAAAATTAAATGTGAATAAATAAATTAATTTTAAATTAAGGATATTTTTTATAATTTATTAAATAAAATTAATAATTTAACTCGCATGAGAATAAAAGTTGTTTATCATTGAGAAAAGAAAAAATTATGAATTTATAAATAAGATGCATATCTATGCAAATTATGTAAATCTAGCATGGAGTTTTTAGTCTAATCTTGTGACAGCACTTACCTCTTTACCTTTGAGTGAGTCCTGTCAGTCTATCAAATATTTCAAAAGTTCATGATCATTCTAGCTGGATATCATTAATTAAAAGTTTAGCAGAAAGATCTAGAACCAAAAAATTTTAAAAAAAAAGTTGCAGACAGTAGCATGCAAGGTGGGTCATTAGACAAGGACTGATGCCATACATATTCACAATTTCACATCCAGATTATTCTCATCCCTTGGCCTGCTCAAACTTCCCTTTTGCCCTCTCTTCAATAATTAAAAAGGAGAAAAATAAAAGAATATAAATATTACTGGTGAATGAGAGTTGGGAATTTCTTGTTTGAACTATATAATTAACATTAATTATTACTAAGATTTGCTAAGAGATAGGCTCAAGGGGAGAAAATGAAAAACTTGGTATCTGAAGAGCCAAACCATGTCCTAAGGCTTCTTCTGCTTTGGGGCTTGAAGATGTTGTTAAATGTTTTGGGCTTGTTTTAGGTGAGAATTTCACTTAATTGATGTTTCATCCAGAGTTCCATAAGAACTCAAGTCTATGGAGGGAGTGGTTAGCTCCCTAGCCCTTGAAGCAAGATTCTGTTGTGTGATGGCCAATGCAATTGAGAAGTTGACAGCTGGAAATTCTGGTTATGTTGGGTTGACACTCTTTTCTTGTCTTTTGCACTGTTGTGTCTAATCTGTTTGTGTCAATGTCAACAGTGTTAGTTTGGGATTGAATCACATTTTGGCACATATTTAACCTTTGAGAGCTTATGTTTGCTCTGTTAGCTTATATATTTGATATCAAAAAACTGTCTCCAGCAAGTAGAAATTCCATTCTATAGGGCAGTATAAAGATCCTTATCCACAGAGGGATGATTCAGTTTATTAGTATTAGTTAATCTCATTACACTCTGTGATTTTAATAATCCATTTAACATTGATAAGAACCCTTTTACAGTTTCTGGTGCTGTAAATTTGACAAAATGATGAATTGCTTGCTTAAAAGTGCTATCCATAGAGAAACCGAGAATGCATTATGCCATTAGGCCCAGTCATTTGCAACTGTGCCTAAACCATATCACCAAATTTGAATAAGCACAATTATTACACCACAAAGTTCTATAACATCTTCCTAATAGAATCTATAATGCAAATTCTGAAGATATTCAACTACTTCACCGCAACAAGACAGACAACAATGAACCACATAGATTCACTCACACAACAACAGAAATACAAGATCAAAATAGAGATCCAATTCTAACCTCCACTTCTTTAGATACCTTCTGTAAGTGCAAAAACTCGGCCAGCTAGAGGCAAAGGCAGCGCAGAAACTGCTTCCTCGATTTTCTGACAGAACAGGAAGGGCAGATTAACCACTTAACCACAACAAGAAATGCAAATTAAGGTAGCATTTTAAAAACAAGACTATGACTGTAACAACGAAACTCTGCGATCTTTTAGCAGATGATGGTCTATTCGATTGGAAGCATCTTTTAATTTCATAAAAAAGGAAAAGCATCTTTGAATGAGGGAGGCCAAAGGGTGAACCAAACAAGATCTGGAAATTTTCTATAGGATAATTAGGAAACACACACACACACACACACACACACACACACAAAATTTTGGCCAGAAGGTATTTGGCAATCCTTGATTATAGGTATGTAAATAGTACAATAAACAACTTGATTTTGATTGCAGAACTACACTTGGTCAAGAGAGTGAAACCTTCAAATAGTTATCCAAGGCTTGCAGATAAAATAAATCACATACACCAGAACTGTCAAGACATACCTCTAATGCATACCGAGCTGAAAAGTGAATCAAAAGAATTGCTTTGTTTTCAAACTTGTCAGCATAATTAATTATCTAGAAGCCCATCCACATAATTAACAAACACAGTTAGGAATCCTGAACAAATAACATATTGTCATAAACATTACATACAAGAATGTTTGAGGAAAGGCATAAGTTTTACCTCAGAAAGATGCATGTGTCCATAATATCTTGCATGCTCAACTGATACAGAGTTATCTATGAACGTGCTCTGCAGGACAACACTGGTTCTTAGTTAGCTATGGCTAATATGTACACCAGTTATTGACACTAGTTGACAACAAAAAACCTAACAATTAATTCTTTTAAAACTAAATTCTGGTTGAGTACCGCATTGTTTTAGAATTTCATTGACATTCAATGGCTCAAAACACTATCACTAAAATGAGTTTCCTCACTTCTTCAATGAATTTATTACCCAGGGCATAAAACACGATTTCTCTGAGCCAACCATGGCAACACCATTAATAAACCATGATGTTGAAAATTTTAGGTATTCAAGACACTTATCGCTGAATACATAACTTTCTCAAAGCACAAATGCATGCCAGAGAGAGAGAGAGAGAGCAGAAAGGGTTAATTAACTCTTGCAAGTACTACTGATCATGCTACCATCACGAATGCACTGCACCACACTCAGCAAAGGGGATGAGAACAATTCAAGATTCCACCATTCACAAAGGCAAACTATAATTGTTTACTACATGCACGATTGTGAACTGCATATGATTGAAATAAGGACCGCAAATTTCATATTGAAATAAATTTGCAGTCTATGGTTCACATTTATCAAGAGTACATATTAAGATTGCTTTTATGAAGTGTTTTCCCATGAGAAATTCCAAGTTTGAGCAGCCCATGGTTACCATGAGAACTGCCTCACCTCTAAGATTCAGAAGATAAAGCAACCAAAAGAATCTCCAGTAAAAGAATCTCACATTTATCAAGAGTATAAATAAAGTAGCAAAAACAAAAGAATCTCAGTAAGGCACCTCAACAACAAGAATCCTAGCCCTCATAACATCAATATTAGTTTTGTCAACAATAAAGTCAGACGTTGTATCTCCAGTAAAAGCAACTTCCGGTGCTGTAGTAGTGTAAGTAATCTGCCAATACATGAATTCAACAAAGTTGCATACAAGCTTAATAAGAGAATTAAGTGGAACAAATATGAAAGGTAAAAGGAAGAAACACTTTTTCGGCTACAATGATGAGAATTAACCTAACAAGAAATTTTAACCCCAAGTAACTACCTCACAAGAAGTTTAAGAAATCTTTGAAAAACCTTTTTGGTGATTTTATCCATTATTACTGGATATAAAATTCTAGCAATGCAAACGTTCCCAAATTTTAGAAGAAAAAACAACTCATACAAATAGCATTTTATTCTCATTTTCTTTTCTTGAAAGCACATACAAATAGATATTATATTCATTAATCCTTCTGCAAACCAAGTTTGGGGATTTTGACTTATCATATTTCTCATCTTCTCCCTCCTCTCTTGCTTTCCCAGCTTGAATGAAGATGTTTTTGCACTCCTTTGGATTCTAATAATTTAGGGTATAATTTGTGAAAGCAATGTTAAACTCAAAGCACAAGGCAGGCTTAAAAGATGTTAAAGCATAATACTAACTATGAGTGACAATATTCCTACACCCAGAATCAGTTGAAATCTTCTTATTTAAAGATTTTTTTATAAACAAAGAAAAAAATGGAGTTTTCTGATAAAGAAACAAATACAGAAAAGAACAGCAGTAAAGAAATAAGTTAAGCAATAAAAGAAAGAAAAGGCCATCAAACATCTGTGGGATTTAAGTAGTTTATAATTATAATTATCGAGACAGACCTCCACACCTGATGACTTCAAGTTCTTGATCTCATTTCCAGAAAGGCCAAAGTACTCCTGTTTAAGTTTTTGTTTTACAGAGTAAACCACATAACCCTGCAACACTTACACCATCACAAATGGTAAGTAAAAGTACTGCTAGAACAGAAGCCATAAAAGAAAGAATATTAGACCTGATTGGTTCACCTGGCTTGGTATTACATGGTAAGTCCTAAAAGCTCTTACTTTCAGGTCCCTTCTCAAGAAAAATTCTTCTCCTGCAATTATAAACGGTAAGCAATTGAAGAGAAATATATGCAAAAAGAAGTGACCAAGAAAGGTAAACTTTTAAAAAGTTGAATAAAAGTTGCACATTACCCACATCCAAGCCTATTAAATTATGCTTTAGCTCTGACTGATCCATCTTTCTATGCACCTCAAAGAGTTTCTCGACATCTTCTTTTATAGCAGTAGGTACAATAATTGTTGGGGGCTTCATGCCATATAAACCGCGCGTTGCTACATACATCGGCAGGCCACCCTAAAAATGAAAACTTATTTATATAACTAGCATTCCAACAAGATAGACAGTAAGTAAACATTCTTCAAATGGAAAAACATCATAGGAATGAACATAAAGAAAATAGAACAAATGACACATTTTTCCTCACTCATACAGCTGAATTTCTGTAAATACGAAACAATTTAAAGAACCCGCTTATAGAACATACTGAAATACAAGAGAGACATAAGAGACTAATAAGAAGAAACCTCCCAATCCTAAATTCAAACAAAGACAAGCTTTATATATTCAACATAGATATTTTTAGCAAAAGTATTCCAAGTTGCCAGTTATACGCTGAAGCAGCACAATCTCACTATCCAACAGTTAAAAGAAAAAGCCAAACCAATTAATGAACTAGAAAGAAGAATTATGCAACCAAAAGCAATAACACAAGAAACAGAAACAGCAGAGAAGGAAAATTGAGGGAGTGACTAACAATGTGATCCATATGGCCATGAGAGATAAGGAGAAAATCTTGAGAAAGGGCACGTTGTGGGCATTTACCGATATCAAATGCTAAGTTAAGAGAAGGGAAAATAATGCATGTTTCATGCCCTCCTATTGACAACCCTTCCACCTGGTACCCTTCTATTTGCATTCCCTTTTCCTTCTTCTTTTCATTGTTTTCTTCTTTTCCTGATTCTGGGTTCTTTGATTTTTGGGTTCTTCTATCCATTTGAATGACCAACAGCAAGAACAAGGACTTCAGTTCACTTCTGCTCGGTTCGAGGGTTGTGGAAGAAGGGAGTTGACGCGGCAGTTTTGGCGTAAGCATTCCTGAGTTGGGGGTTTAGCGGCGTCGTTTTGAGGCAGAAGAAGAAAAGCTAGGGGAAGGGGAGGAAGCGGGTCGGATCAGCCCAAAGGCAACTCAGATCCGGCCTTTAGTCTGGTTGAAGTGTGCTGGCCCAATGATAGCCCAAAAATTTTTGACACAAGAGTTGGCCCACTTATATATAAATTTCAAACTCAATTATTTTATTTATTTATTATTATATGTCTATTTTGATTAATAAAATTATTTAATTAATTATTAAAAATATAATGAAAATGAAGACTTAATTCATTTGAATATAAAATATAATTATTTTTTAAAATAATCTAAAATGAACATTTAAAAAAATTGTAAGTGATGATATTTTAAATTACTTGTAAGTGAATCAGAAAATGTATACATACCAACCCCATAAACTTAACAATGTCTGGGTAGGCTTGAAGAGTTATTATATTTTTTGGACATGGTTTACACACTTATTTTAAAATATAACCTAATTAATTACTAATTCTAAAAGAAGTGACACAATTAGTAAAAGCCTTCTTTTCTTTCTCCTTGCAAGTTCGAGTCATTACATGTCTCATTGTTGTCTTCAGTGCGTCTCACGCCATTGTGCCTCTAAGTTTAAGGTGTAGTTTTTAAGTGTTGTTTGAAGTTTAGGGTTTAGGATTTAAACATGAAAAGTATTTTGGAGAGTTTTGTTAGTTGTTGGACATGGAGAGTAGTGTGGGGAGCTACATTAGGTGTGGTGTGAGGTTTAGGACTTAAGGGTTAAACATGAAGAGTAGTGTGGGGAGCTCTTCACAACGTCATCTTGTTGTGCGAACAACACTTTAAATAAAAATGAGAGGTTGAAAATCTTTTAAGTCAATTGATTTTCATTAAAAAAAAATCTTTTTGATTTGTTTTCTTTAAAAAATAAATTCCATTATGATTTTCTTTCCATCGATTCATTTATTACATTAGAATAAGAGAGCAATTAATTATATAGTATAATTAATAGTATTTGATGATTCCACATGAACACTTCAATAACTATCTCTTTATTAATGGAAGACTGATTTTCCTATACATAGAGAAAGGCAACCCTACTAGCTAGGATCAATGCACAAATTCCATGTGGATGAAATTACTAACATCCATGAAAGTTAAAGGAAAAGGTTGGTGACAACCCAACAATGTAGGGGAACCCATGCCTTTAGCTTTGCTTCTTCTCTAACCTTCATCTTATTAGGCACTAGCAATGAATGTGAATGACCTAACAGTCAAAACTTTTCACTACTATGAAGCACATGTGTAAACAACTTAGGCTTGACTCAACAAACCCTAGCCATCCCATGGGAACATTAATTGTGAGCATAAGTGGATGTGAGTTGAGGTAAAGTTAAGATTATAAATAGTAATAGATTCGAAAATTTATATGAGATGATTAAAGGATAATTATATTATATATTTTAAATTTTATGTATATAATAATAAAAAAATTAAAAATTAAGATGTGACGATTGTTACTGTTTATTATCACTTTGACTTCATCGGTGATCGTAAGGACATAATCATGTATCATTCCACACTTATTTGATGAGAACCCATTTTGCTAAAAGATTTTATGTAATTTGATCTCAATTATATTGAAGAGAAATCCCACATGGAAATGAGTTTGAATCTTTGGGTTTCTTGCCTCCCAACTTGGAAGAAAAAATGACCTAGAAACTGGAAACCAGCTGTGTTGGCCCAAAAGAATTATTGTTAACCAACAAAATGGTTTGTACATATCTCCCTCACAAAGCCCTCCAAAGGTATCATAAATGAACCAAAGCCTTCCATCCAAAACATGTCAATGAGTTTTGGGTGCTATAATTTCTACACAAAACCTCAAAATCAAAGTCATTTCACATTCATTCTTCACTTCCTTATCTTGTGCCTTACATTTAGGCTTATCACATATTGTCAAAAAAGTGATAGCAAATGTGGAATCATTCACATGGGTTAACATAACTTTTAACACCCCAAATAAAACCAATAATCAAACACTATATTCTATATAAATAAAGAATAAACAAATTAAGTAATTTAAATAAATAAAAATTAAAAATATTAAATGTCATGAATAGTATATCAATCAAAAATAAAAATAAATATTTTTTTATTTAATAATTATATTTTTTGGATCAACAACTTGAGTTCGAGACAATAGTATACATTAAATTTTAACACTCAAAAGTAAAGAAGAAAAGAAAATAATTTTTATTTTATAAAATATTCAAAAAATAAAAAATATTTTTTCCTTTACTTTTCATACTAATATATATTATTTTTTTAATTTTATATTTATATACTTTGATTGCTTAAGACAACTTCAGACAAACCGACAAATCCACCCCCTGACACAGCCCCAAGATCCAACGCGCCTGTCAGGAGCCCATCTTTCGCACGTGCCCACCCACGAATCGCACGTGCCACCTCTCTTCTGCTCCCTTTCTTTTCTGTGTTCTAAGATTCCCCTCGCCAGCTGAAAAAAACCCAAATAAAATAAAGAAAATCCGACCTTTAATCTTAAAACCCCTCTGAAATTAGGGTTTTTCGCCCCACATTTTTCGAATTTTCTTCCAATTTTTGCATGAAATTCTCAGTCTGAACGAGCTTTGTTGAAAGGTTCCGAACAACTTTTTGAAAGGTTTTCTTTTTTTTTTTTTTAGTTTTTTAAATCTCAAAATGGAGTCGATTTTAGCTCGAGCATTGGAGTACACTTTGAAGTACTGGCTTAAATCTTTCTCAAGAGATCAGTTCAAATTACAAGGCCGTACCGTTCAACTTTCTAATTTAGGTAATGAGTTTTTTTATCTTGGATCTAAAGTTAAGCTTCCAATTCCTGTTACTTAACTCTTTTTTTTTTTCTCTGGATTTGATAGATATCAATGGCGATGCGTTGCATGCGAGTATGGGATTGCCCCCTGCTTTGAATGTGATGACGGCAAAAGTTGGGAAATTGGAGATAATTGTGAGTTTCTATTGTTTATTATTGATTTTTTAACCTCTTTTTTTGGATTTTGAATTGAGAAATCGATGATTATTATTTTTAGAATTTGTATTGTTGATTTGGAATTTATAAAGAGTTCGAGATGTAAAGTTAGGGAATTGATTAGATTTCAGCATATGTTAATGTGAAAATGTCTTTTTGATTATATATGGAGACAATTTAGTGGGAAATTATGAGGTTTTTAATAATTTTATTTGCCTTTAGCTACTATGAATTGGAGAATGAGTTTAATATTTCCTACTGTTGGGTTAGGATGGATTTTGAGATAATCGGTAATTAGTTTTGGATTTGCTGTTTTACATTTAATTTTGATTTGGTTCATAATCAGGGGGTAAGAAGATAATAAATTGAATGTTCATTTCCTTACATCTTTTAGACATTGCAAATGCATGCTGATCCTTAATTTAGCTGATATTTTCTTCCCACGAGCTATTGAGTTTCTAGATAGATGATGACAGCATCAACTACTACTGCTGTTGCTGCTGCTACTACTACTACGCATTCTCACTATATGGTGTCAACTATCTGAATTATATTGCACCACTGTGCTTTATTTAAGACTGTATGTAGTTCCTAGAAAAAGACAATGAAAAATCAGCTTAATTACTTTTCAGTTTTGTATTTTTCTATGTTTTCTTTATTCTTTTAAATGGAAAATTCAGCTTCTCTTGTTCAACTCAAACTATATGTGAAAAAATAATTTGCAAACTGGAACAATAGGAATATAAGGTTGAAATTGTCATCCATTTTGTATTTGCCTCTGAGCATTTGAACTGGTTTTGATTCTGTTTTCTTGAACTGATCATTTTCTCTAAATTAATTATTTTTCTCTTGTAGCTCCCCTATGTCAGTAATGTACAAATTGAGCCAATTATTGTGCAAATCGATAGGCTTGATTTGGTTCTGGAGGAAAATCCGGATGCTGATTCTTCTAGGAGCTCAAGCAGGTAATGTAGATTCACCGTTGCTCAATGTTATGTTTGACAATTAGAATCATATTTGTAAATTTGTCATTTGGAATTGTGTACTGTTTGTTAAAGCAACTTGTATCTGCTTCTGTGCTTACAGCACTCAATCATCCACCAGCTCAGGGAAGGGTAGTGGTTATGGGTTTGCCGACAAGGTTAGATACTATCTTTGGTAAGGTTGTAGATAAGTATTTTGCCTTAGAATATTAAATCATTTATTGATTTAAACACTATAAGGTTAGCACTTTTGTAGTGCCTGTACTTTGTCTGCAGGTTGCTGTTGCCTACTACAATGTTGGACTTCAATTAGATCTTAAGCTAACATTAAATAAGAGAAAATAAATTCCAGCACATAAATATACAAAATTCTTTAATTGGTTGAATGACTGGTTTATGCATGTCATTTTATGCATGTCATTAGCAACATTGACAAAGGTTTAGACACGGAATATTTACTTCATGTATTGACCTTTTATTATTTTCAGATTGCAGACGGAATGACTCTACAGGTTCAGACAGTCAATCTTCTACTTGAAACTCGTGGTGGTGCTCGTGGCAAAGGGGGGGCTGCTTGGTATGTTGTTTTATTTTCAGCTTGGTCATAAACTTTCTGGTTGCTTGCATGGCCAGTAGATATATATATATATATATATACAATCTAATGGTTTCTTAACTTGTTTTGCTTGGTTGCTTTGATCATTAGACTCTTCTTCTCAGAGATAGACTCATCTCCTTTTGTGCCTGACCCTTGTAGTGACGATTATAATATAACTTAACTTAACTTACAAAGAACTTGTAGAAATATGTCCAAAAAGGACATTGTAGTATAATTGGAGTGCCCCTTTTTCTTCTAAGTTTACTCATATCTTATGTTTATACATTTCTTTTAACTGTATATAATCATTTTACAAGCAAATGATTCCCTAGGTATTGTTGAAAAATGTTTTGTTCGATACTAGAAAATTCTAATCAAAGATGCATATAGCTATGTGTTGT